GGTAACGCCTGAAGAATTCAGGTCGCTCATCCTTTGCAAGCAATGGCCATGCGAGGTCGTGTTCGCAAAGAGTGCTACCCCGACCTATTTTCAAGCAGGTCTGAATCACCAGAATTTCCAGAAATCATCCAATCGTGGCATGACTTATAGTTTCCAGGGTTCGATCCTCAAACCTTAAAAACTAGGAGACTTCTGTTATGCCTGAAAAATATAGGGCTGATGTAGGGTCCAGTCGGCGTGCAAAAGTCAGAACATGGGTACACCCGCAGCTGCTTCTATCAGAATAGTGGGTGCGCGCCAGACCAACCAGAAGCTGTGGTGATTCCACGAGTCTAATCCCTACGTCAAATCGCGCAAATCACTCTAGAAGGTGGGCAATGTGACATAAAGAAGGATTTGCACGGATAATCCCACCAACTCACAGATCTAGTAATCATTAGCTCAATGCATCCCACTATAAATTGAGAGTTCCTCTCTCATTCAAGGGATTCGCTCATTTTGCTCTTGATTAGCTACTCTCTCTCTATAATTTATAGCATTCACTCGTTTGTACTATCACTTGAAGGTCAGTCAGCTCATGCGACGTGACCTTTATCATTAATAAAATAATAGTGGACGTAGGATTTGCTTTCTTAGCATCCGAACCACTTTAAAAACGCTTTTCTCATTGCATTTATCCTTTTTTCTTTATATTCACGTGTGTCTTCTGAGCCAGTTCAGCGTTTCATACGTGCATTTCGTTAGTGTCAAAATCACGCATCAACAATAATTGATTTGTTTTTTGAGGGAATAAGAATTTTTATTCCAATTACTGTATTTTAGTCTCTTTCTTCTTCTTAATTAATTCAAGTTCTGGAAGACATTAAGAATTCTCACAAACTTTTAAGTTTATGGCAAATTTTTTTATTTTAATTTTCTGCTACACTTTGGAGAAGGAGAAACAGAGTGGGCTAAGTTCGGAAAATGAGAGAATGAGAAGACGAAGGGGTTTGAGGGCTTTTCAAAACAAACAGGGTTTAACTAATTCAACTAAAGTTTGGGGTTCCGATAATTATTATTATTATTATTATTATTATTTTTAAATTTAGGATAATGCATGTCAATTTATAGTGACCTGAGGTACCACCTCAGCATTATTTTCTCTTTCAGTCTAATAATCCACAATCATAATTAATTGGATTTAAATTAAACATCACATGACATAATATTATTAAAAATTTGTGTAAATAATATTATATTATCAACTTTAACCCATGTTTTATTAGGCTTCAATTATCATTGTCCGTACAAAAGGATATATATATATATATATAAACAAAAGATTCCACAATGTTATCAAACTTTTAATCCTATCGCCTTGTTCAAAGAAATCAAGGTAGAATTACATATTTTTCACACATGTATTCAAAAGGTTCATATGTGCATTTTGATAATGGTTTTACTTTATAAAAGAAGAGACACCAGCTTTAGAGAACTTCGGGAAGCGAGACCTCCCACTACCCTAATTTACTTAGATTTTTTTTTTTTTTTTTTTTTTTTTTTTTTTTTTAATGATTGGTGTGTTCGGACCCGTTTACATGCATTTCAATTAATTTCCTAGGATATTAGAACTACCGGTCGGACAAAAATTCCAGTGGTCACTCCTATTAAGGGCTACAAGAACTCAATCTTGAAAGACCATGTAAACTTAAATCCTCTTTTACTTTTTTACCATCAGATCACCCAGTGATAGTTTATTTTACTTAGATTGAATAGAGGAATACTTTTCAAGTCGTTAGTAACATTCATTAATAATTTGAAGTGCTCTTATATTTTTTTTTTGTTTTATTACATTTGATGATAATTGACAAAAATGTAATTAAAGAGGTACTTAGAGTTTTTTTTTTTTTTTCTTTTAAAAAAAGAGACTTGATAAGTATTATTTTTAGAAAACACCTTTTGAATAAGCTGACAAATTATCATTTAACGTACATGTGTTTCTTAACTTCACATATGTAATTTTATAAAGCTCTACTTTTAGCTGAGAGCACTCCACATAAAAGGACTTTCTGGAGGAGTTCATATCTTTATTTTTCTCATGAAAGCAAAGAGTATGGGTACCAAATCTAGCACTTACACCTGGTAAAACGGACGGGATGGGTCAGGTATGGATCGGGCCCAACGGTTACAGGTCTAAAACAAGTCGGTTCTAAATGGGTCCAAAGTATTTGACCCGGATCTCACCTTATGCAGGTACAAGTGTACCCACGATATACCCGTACTGTTTACTCCAATTTTCGATTTCAGAGAAAAAAAAATTTCTCTGAAATCACTGTAGCGTGGTCCACATTAGCTTGGCCGTGGTGCACGTTAGCAAACACGGTACACGATAAGCAGGCGGGAGGCGCACGTTAGCATGTGCTGCCACCGACGTTTTGGCCATTTTTTCACCCAAAACCACCACTATCATCTTCCCTTCATCTCCCACATCATAACCGACCTCTCCCCGTCCCAAAACACCCTTTGATCGTCGGAAAATGACCACTTTTCTTTCTTGTGATTCCCATTTTTACGGCCAATTTCCGGTCGATTTCCCCATTAGAAATTCACCCTACCACCACACAAGAATCCCCGTCATCCCCTCATCAAACCCGACCCTCCAGTTGGCTTTCCTTACTTCGTGTTTGCCGTCCATCGGTCATTTTAGGGCTGCCCACCACTTCTTTGTGCTTTTCCCCAACCAATTTATCTTATGGAATATTCCTAAACTCCCAAGATAAACCCTAATGACAACAAACCCCCAATAGTTTGTAATTACCTTAATGCCCATCCCAACCCAATTCCAGCAGGTCATCGTCCCCACATCCCACCTCCATCGCACACCAAGCTTATCACCGTAACACCTCCATTGCAAAACATGCTTTTCTAATAAGCACCTTCAGATTGAGATTGAAGTGTTAGGTGTCTTTTTACCAAAAGCTTGACTAGTTAAGGAAATTGTACTTCTGATTGGTGATAAAGGAATGAATTGATGCAAGGAAGAAAGTAACTGAAATAGAGTAGAAATTAAGCAAAGTAAAGTAAAAGAGTTTTGGTGATTAAGGTAATCCGAAATCCGAATGCACATTTTTCCCCACTTAGGCATTAGACATTTAGGTCTTTTTTTTTTTTTTTTTTTTTTTCCACGAGCACTCACAGGTATAGCCGGTCCACCCGCAAAAAAGGATCGGTATGGGTACAGGTAGAAAAAAAGGGTCCATATAGAACTATACCCTATATTTTTTTCACGGGTATTGGTCCACTTGTGGGTATAGACCCGTTTTGTTAGGTCTACTAGCACTACATTATATTTATAATTTAAGGGAAAGCTCATTACTTTATCAATTCTATTTTTTATTTTTTATTTTTTATTTTTGTTACAGATAAGCTATCTAGCTTGGCATAATTACTTTATGGCTTTGGAGTATGGGAAAAAGCACAATTCAATCCACTCATTCATAGTGGAAAATTTTAAACATTTTTCATAACAAAAAAACCGTTTGCTTTATATACCTTCCTCCACCTTAAATTATTTGTTCATTCAAAAAGTACTTCTTTGACACTATTTTAATATGCAACACATCATTCTTGTTCCATTCTTAATTTTAAAGAAGGACACTAACAATTGATTATGAATCTATTATAGTCCAATCTTTTTTTAGAGAAAAGTTGAATGGATTTATTTATGTGTTTGTTCAACAATTTTTTAACTATTAGATTGATGACTTTAATATAATAATGTAAAATTAAATCAAATATATTTAAATTGATATGACCTAACCTTATTAAATTTTTAAATATATTTAGCTTATGATCCAATTTTTTGCACTATTTTTTTACAAACTCTAGTGCTACTTAATATATTAAAAGTAGAATTTTTAATTATGAGTGGATGTGGCTTCACATCACTCATTATTTACTTCCTTTTTATCATCTTGAAGGAAGAGAATGGGTGTGAGTGTGAGTTCTTTAACGGGTTTTTAATTAAATCAGAAAATCATGAACATTGAAGCAAAAAAAAAAAAAAAAAAAGAGAGACTAGGAAAATACAGAAGTTCCATAGAAGTATACATAAACAAAGGCTTAATTTTAAAAACATTACTTTGGGAGGTAGAATATGAATAAATCGAAAATAAACCCTTTTTTTAATTATTTTAAAAATTGCGTTTTCGTAATTTGTATTAAAATTAATTGGTTGTTGACCGTATTACCATAACCCTAATATTAATACAAGAAATATAGTAATATAACCCTAAGGGGTTGGCTGACGATCAAAGAGGTTTGTTCTCTTCCTTGAGTTCCTATGTTTAAACCTTTGGATCATCTATCACAATAACATTGTAGCTTATTTGGTCTTTTGGATCTGTAACGTGTTCAATTATATATATATATCCGACATGCATTTGTACCAAAACAAATAAAAACTAATTCTTGTTAAGAATATGGTTGTTAAGAGGTAGTAAATAACAAAGAAAAAGCCAAGTCCAAGATAGGTAGCAAATCAATTCTTAGTTGCATAGTTTTGTTTCCTTTTGTGTGGTGACTTCTTTGAAGAAATAATTTTTTTTGAAGATTCTCATTCTTCTACATGAGTTTTACAAGTCCACTCGTCTGCATGCCAAAATGCCATTGACCCCCCAAGTCAAGAGCTCAAGCAACCAGATCTAGTCAAATTATATATGCTGTGTTCAGATGGGAAAAACATAAAAATCACCAAAGACCAAGCTCTTACTGGATATGAAATGAAACAAGTGGCCATCGGTTCTGCTTGGACCATTTTGACTATTTGGATCAATATATAACTTAATCTAGTAATGTTTAATGTCAAATTGATGAAATTAATTAATTACCAGTTTATATATAGTTAAACAAAAATGATAAATAAAGCGAAACATGATGTCATGATATACGTTATGCAAAGCACTTTATTGTCTATAAATTGCTTTCACTCTCTCTTTTGGTTTATGAATTATTGATGAAGAACATGACAACTTCAATAATGAGCACTCTACTTCTTGCGTCTCTTCTTGCCTTCCTTGCCATTTCGGCAGAAGCAAGAACCTTATCAGGTTATTTACATGCATCTATGCATTATGAGCAAACTTCTGTAATTAATTAAAGGTTAATTAAGCTTTTAGTATATTTGGTAGAAAATTCAGTTTTGTTATGCAACAACTTTATATTTTTAAAGGAATACAAAGGCATGCATAGAAGCAACTGTTTATACTTGTTTCAGCAACTCTTTTTGCTTTTTACTTAATATTAAAAAAGCTGCTATATATAGTTTCTTACTCTCTTCTCCCGTTTTGCTTTTCTCTGTGTATAGCTACGAGTTTAATAATTATCTTGAATAAGATATCAATTCCAATGACAGTTTTATTGGATATCTTACAATTGGAATCCCTCTTTTTTCCGATGTCATTCAGTTTCTCTATTACTGCTAACCTCAGTTAGATTCAAGTATGATTCAATATCAGTTTCTCTTCAGATCGAGGAAAAAGCTTTAGAGATCTTTTTCCCTTTTGGAAAATACAAGAGCAAAACAATCAACCTATTGATATTGGAAATTGATTATCAAGCATTTTAAATGTCTGAGTAACTTGCTTATCTAATCTTTCTCTTTTCCTATACAGATTGGCAAAACAAAATCTCCATGATTACTGACTATGGAAGGCATTCAAGATCACCACCACCACCTCCAAAGTCATCACCCTCACCCCATCAACTGACAACCAGTTACGGAAAGACCCTGCTGTCGCCTCCACCGCCACCGAATCCATCATCATCACTAGACCAACTGACAGAAACTGGAGTTCCTTGCATTGCAGGAAGTACTCCATGCAAAAGGGTCATCACAATGGTAACTGATTATGGAAAGAGGCCGACACCAAGTGCCCCTCCAACTCCGAAGCCATCACCATCGGAGCATCAAGCGAGTGTCGAGCAATTGTTACATAAAATATCTTCTCAGAATTGTTATGCAGCTTCATCTTGACTCAAGAGTGATTCAGTGGTTGTGATAATAGGGTTGTGCATGAGGCCATTTGTGTAACAGTAGCTAGTTAAGTTTGACGGTAAGAGTCGATAAGAATGGGATTCATATAAATCTTGAAAAATTTATTTGACTCTGAACGGTATTGTATAATTAATGTTATATATCTAAATATTTTTTATCATTCTAATAAAATTAATGTTATATACATTTGTTTAATTTTTCGTCTAATTATTTTTTACGGAAATTTGGAATTTAAAATGGATAGATATATGGAAAGATTAAAACATATGAATTCATAATCCATATTTTCTGTGGATCTCATTAAGTGAAATCAGTTAAAGGTTTATTATTGTTGGTTAACATTTATAAAAAATAAAAAATAAAATTTTTATATATCTTTTAATAATAAACATGCGATGTTACCACCGCATAAGAGAAGTAGTTTGTGTAATTAATTTCAAGAGTTAACGCCATGTTCCTACCCAAAAAATGGTCCATTGACAAATTCATACCCACCCACTTTTTAAATACCCTTTTAGTACCCAAAGCACAATTTTTTTAGTAATTTTTGTTGTGGTGAAGGGTAAAATAGTCAAAAATTCATTATTAGTGAGGGCATAATGGTCAACAAACATTTGGCCTATGGAGAAGAGAAAAGAAAAGGGAAAGTGCACCTTAGTAAGAGATGGCGCACGTTAGCAATGTCGGAGCCTACGGTTTTTGCCGTTTTCCAACAAATCCCAGCGTCCAAAATCACTTCCGAGACCACCCATAAAATCCTCATCACCTCCTCTACAAAGCCCAAGCCTCCATTTGCCATCATCACTCACCATTTCCCCACCACTACCTCCATTCACATGGCCGACTCTTTAAGCTAGATTTTCGGTCGTATTCGATGTCAGAAATCCACCCTAAAACTCACCTCCTCCTCCATCCACTTCCCCGAGCCTCTCTCACCCTTAATCCATTTACCCTGAGCCTAGTGCACTTGCCAATCACCAGAAATCGCCGCCTGAGTTTTTGCATGATTTCCCATCTTTTCGGCCTTGTTTTCAACTTATTCAATCACCCAAAATGCCCCTTGCCACCACTGTTCGACTCCCCACCCTCTGCTCTTCAAAACCCACCCTTCCGTGCTCGCCATTTTCCNAAAAAAAAAAAAAAAAAGAGAAAAGAAAAAGAGAAACCTTACCTTCTGGGGGGCGTGACCGAGGACGGTTCTTGTTTCAGATATTGGAAAGATGCCAATCGGAAAAGAAGAACTTTCGGTTTGTAAAGATTTTTTGCTCGAGGCAAAAGGAATTTTGGTGGCATCATCTAAAAAATTTGGGCTTTTATATGGACTATGAACCGACGGTTACCACCTCTCGGAATCGAAACGACGCCTTTCTCTCTCTCCGCATTAAATGCTCCCCACGCCGCATTTAATATTGTGATAAGGGTTGTCGTTTCGAGTGTGTCGTGCAATTAATGCTCTGTCAAAACAACGCGTCAACACACAGCGCATTTAATGCGCCTGGTAGACGCTTAACACGCGCGGAACGCCTATCAGCGTAGAAACGACTTCATTGAATCTCCAACCCTAAGGCATGGTAAGGAACGCCCGATGAAATCAGGTCGCTTAGGTGACGGTTGTCAGGTCGTTTGGGTGAGGTTTGTGCGGGGTCGCGTTCACAAAAGGCCCTATCCCAAGCTTCTTCCATTCAGGTCGAAATTATCAGAACCTCCAATCGCGGCATGACTTAGTTTCTAAGGTTCGATCCTCAAACCTTAAAAACTAGGGGACTTCTGTTATGCTTGGGAAATCAAGGGCTGACATGGGAAATCAAGGGCTGACATGGGAAATCACGTGATGGAGTGTGACCTGCTTCCGTCAGAACGGTAAGCGCACGTCAGGCTTGCCAAACGCTGCAGAGCTCCCACGTGTCCATTTCCCTCATCCAAATTGCATGAAATCAGCTTGGAAAGTGGGCAATGTGACGTGAGGCCGGATTTTGCCCTAACATTCACACCAACCCATGGATTTAATGATGATTATTTACACTCATCTCACTATAAAAAGAAGAAGACCCCTTCATTGAGGGGATTCGGCCAATTTATACTTTGAACTAGCTTTCTCTCTCTCTTTTGTACCTTTGTATTTACTTTTCCCTAATCATTCGTAAGTCAGTCCGCTGTTGCGACCGGACCCACAATACTAATACAATTATCAGTGGACGTAGGACTTGCTACCTTAGCATCCGAACCACTTTAGAACGCTCTCATTATTGCATTTGTTCTTCACGCTATTAATACCCACGTGTGTCTCTTGGCCAATCAACGTTACGCACGTGTCGATTAGTTGGTGTCAAAATCACACATCAACAAATTTGAAATTTAATTTGCATCTTAAATTGGAGGAATCCAAGAAGTATTGTATTATAATAAAATGTTAAAATTTGAAATATTTATAGTAAATGTTAATATTCCTACATCATGACATCTCCATTATATATATATCATTGTGGCAAATCTTAATATTATCCTTTGGAACTTACTCATCAATTGTGTGGTATATAATTCTTCTTTTCAAGCAACATAAATTCAAAAAATTAATGATTTTGGAGATAATTTATAACTATTAAATGATTTTTATTTTTACTATCAAACGAATTTGGGAGAAAATGCGGTGTAGTAGAATTTATCTTTGGCTGGCCTGATTATTCAAATTTAATTAATAGAAGATGAAGAATGCGCCTAATCAATGAGAAATTTACTTACTTGACCTTTTTCAAAAAATCAAATTAAAAAATAATCGATTTTTTAATAACTTTTTAAGTAAAATCTCTATAAGATTTGGACACTTTTACCCTTGTCTTCCATTTTTAATCACATTGATACAATTGTTTCCATGAAAAATGAAAAAAAAAAAATTGATTTAAGATTGAAATGTAGAATATTATAGTTTTTTGGTTGAATTTTTTTTAAGAGAATATGGTTTTGAAATATTGGAATCGAGCGAGTTGAGTTTCTGCAATTTTTGAAAATCAAATTTTTTGATTCAAAGTACTGGCGCTTTTTTTTTTACCCCTAAATATGAATTATTTCACTTAAATTAACTACAATACATATGAAAATAATATACACCCTTAAACATATACAAATAATACCAAAAAAAAAAAAAATTAAAAACATTAATGAAAGGAGAGAGAAAGAAGTGAATTGAGGGAGAAGGGTAAAATTATTCAAAACGTACATTTGAGAAACAAACTGTTTTTTTAATTTTACTTTTAAAATAGGGTCGTATAAGTATTATTTCTCAATATAAAGTTATTTATTTAGAAGAAAAGTATGATGTGATTATTTATACGGTTTTAAAACATGTAAGGTATCTAACATCGAAACACCAAATGTATCCTTTTTCTTATATGTTAAGGCAAAATTAATAATGAAAATCCAACCAAAACTATAATATAAAATTTCAAACATCATAGATAATATCTAATATTACACCAATATAAGCATAGAGCATAAGAAAATCATAATAAATTTATATATGGAGATATAATTTTACACCAGTATGTAGGAATAGTATTTGCTTCAAAGATAGATAATTTACTATGTATTAATTCAATAACCAAAATCAACTTTATCTTTGAATTGAAATTCTAACAAAAGAAAAAGCGAAACAAGGTTCTCTACTGTGTGATACCAAAATATTTTAAGTAAATTATGATAATGAACCATGATTGATATTATAAGAAATTTAAATCAATTTTATAAGCAAGCAAAATTTCTATAGAGATTGTCTAAGTCTTACACTATAAAGTAAATCATGCATGTTTTTCATTTTTATTATTATTATTATTATTGCTAATTATTTTCTTTAACATCATGCCTTCCATATCATGTTCTTTCAAATAAATAATTAGCAACACACATATTTAGCATTGTTCAAAATTTTATCTAAAACATATTTCAAATTTTGAAGATCCAAATTAAAATAGAGTAATGTGATGGAGGGACATTGCCTCGCCAGCGGACAAGCCCATTTTCGTAACTCCAAGCCGCCAAAGCAAGTCCACTATATAACAGTTGCCACCCAGTCTCCCAAAGATGTCATCACTCAACAAATAACTATTTCATCGAGAAATCAGAAAAAAAGAAAAAGAAAAATGTCCACTCAACAATTGATCACAGAAAACAAACAAGGAGTTGAGATCCACCGTGGCGCCGCCCTTTACAAGCAAAAGTGTCATGAACTTCTCGACGACTTAGCCCAAGAATATAATTAGCCTACTGACTTCGGGTCTAGACATGATGTTCTATCAGTTTGTTAACAAACCTTATCAATTAATGAATAATTTGTGAAATTTAACATAAGAGTAGTTTGTGTAATTAAATTTCAAATTAAGTTCAATTTGAAATTTAACATAGTTTTGTTTGTTCATTTTATAAGTTGTCTTAAGTTTCTGTTTTAACAAAAGAAAGAAGTTATTGATTTCAAAGACAAACCGTTCCGAGCTTATCAATCTTCTAAACTAGATGAAAGAAAATAATCATTAGTCAAACTTCAAGTAAAAAGCATTGCGGAAAGAACTAAAAGAAATCTAAGATTATTCCGATTTATTGAATAATGAAGCGAATAGAATCAATATCAATAAACTATATTATAAAAACTTGACATGTAATAGTAATGTTATTGTTCAGGAAAAATTATGCCTTTGGTATATACTGCACTAATAATTCTATCAAAAAAACCTATGCACTGATAAAACTATCAATTTTCGAAACAAGTCTTTCAAATTAATACTTGATCTCAATTCTGAAATTAATAAGAGGGCTTGCATTAGCTATCAACAGTATTCCCTTTTTTTGGTAAAAGTTATATTCATCCCATTTTGAAAAACTCACTAGAAAGAGATATAAATTTGAAAATACATTAAAAAGGATAAAACATTGTTAGTTAACATTAAATTTAACAAAAGAAATTGAAAAAATAAATTAATTTTTAGAAGGAATTAATTTTTAAAAGAAATTACTTGAAAATAACTCCCTTGAGTTTTAATATTAGCAGAGCGATCTTCTACCCATTCAAGCCCAAAACGCATGATGAAATTCGAGTCATGCTGAGCCCGACATAGCCCAATATATATAAACCTTACAACTTCACTCTGAAATTCCGAAAAGGCGAAAACACAAAAATGGCGAAACCTTTAACCACTGAAATTCCTTCTTCTTCTTCTTCTTCTTCATCCCATTCGGTGTCTCCTCTACAAACATTTTTAGTCCACCTGATTTGTGGAGTAGGCTTAGGCACCGGTTTCTGCGTGGCCCACAACGTCTATTCCATCAATCTCATCTCTCATTCTTCGGACACTTTCCGTCTGATCTGGGTACTGTACATTTGTTTTCTTTCACTTTTTGTCACCAAATTTACAATCTTGTTTACTCATTAATTTTGTTTCAACACTGTAATTTAGGTTATCGAGAGCCCAATTGTTATTCTTCTTTACAGCTATTTTCGGAAAAATTCCTGACAAATCCTCGGTAATTCACATTAGTTTTGTTAATTCTTTTATTTGCTCGTTTTTGGGATTTTTTTACTGAAAAATGTTACACTTCAACTTTTTTATTAGTGCACTACCTAATGTGTAGGGAAGAGTACAAGAAAAAAAAAATTAATTTATTTTACGAGCGCAAATAATGTGGCAATAAAAGAGCAATGCTTGTTTATGCTTATATGTATATGGAAGTTTATGGTAATGTTACTGAAATACAGTTTGCTAGAGTACTTGCCTTGTAATGTTACTGGTATGATATTGACCATTGGATTTGTTTTTATAAAAATGCATAATTCCAATTAAAGAAACTTTATGGTTAATATGGCCTGGTATATTTGCAACTTGTAAGCAACTTGTAAAATGAAATGCTTGCTAATGTTCGCTGGTAACCTTATAGTTTCTTAGGGCGGCAACTTTATTAGTGCGGCTAAGCTCTTGGATTTTTGATCCAAGGGCTGAGATTCTTTTAAAAGAATTAAAAGTTGTGTGGAAAAGCCGGCTATTTAACAGAGCTCTGTGGTCTAGCAACTCTATTTCTTACTGATAAGATGTTCCATGTAACAAGTGTATGTCATATGTTATCTGAAAAAAATTATTTCAGTAACTGCACTGTGATTTTGATCTAGCATTAGAGCTATTTATGGATCATTTTATACTGGTAATATTTACAAGTCATATTTCACTACGAATTTGGCAATAATGTGACAAATATGATGTTTCATGCAATGTGTGATGATTTACATAAAAATTCATCCCATCCTCTCTTGTTGAAGACATAAGGTTATTTGATATTGGTTTTTTTATGTGATTTTTTGTTCTTTCCTTTATATTTTTGCAACAGTATTTCAAAGCTGTGGTAAGAGGCCTACTGGGACTCCCTATTGGTTATTCGCGTTGCTCCTTTTTATTTTGTCTTGTTCATTTTTTTAGTTTTTATTTTTACTTTTATAAATACTGTTTACTAGTTTTATTTAGTATAGTTTCTATTCGTGGATTTTGTATCTGTACAGATACAAATGTTTACCACGGTTGTATGTTTTCTTCCATTTAGTTTGAAGATAAAGCAGAACTTATGTTGCAACATACAATGAGTGATGTTGTTCATTCTGCTTTAGATTTTGAATGAAACAATATCTTTTTTCCATATTAATATTAGTTTTTATTTCCTTCGTTTGTAATGATGTGTATTTGATTTTGAAGATTGTTGGATTAGTTTGTTTTACAGTCTAAATAAGAAATTTTTGTGGAGCATTTAAATGTGGCTTGATGAAGATTCATAGTCTTTGTAGGTTCAATGTACTTCTATTGGAAATGTTTTTGTTATATGCTTTACTTTACCTGCTTACAAGCAAATTTGTGGCATATGTGTATCATTTTTTCCATCCAACTTGAAGATGGAAGGCAATGGTTATAAATGGGTCCTTAAAGAAACGTTTCCAGTTAAAATGAGTGATCTCCAAGTCATGTTTTTAGCTTTGGATTATAGTGTAACAGTCTTGTGTCAGCATTTATAGAAATATAGCTTGGTTTAGAGTAGCACTACCTTGTAACAATGCTTGGTAAAACAAAAGGATCATGTATGTTTTGTTTAAAATCTCGTGCGTGTCTTTATTTTTAGGCAAGGGTCTGTTCCCTTTGTTTTTTCTGCATAACGTAAAATAACTGATCCATCTTCTTCTTTGTAGGGGCTCTTGTAAATGCTTTAGGAGCTATTGCTTTTTGTGCACCTGTGGGCATTTAGTATGTGAAACAAGGGCGGATAAAAATTTGTGCCTTTTACTGTTATTATGAAAACAGAAGCCACAGTTGAGGTCAAAATGGGTTCACTCATAGTTCCTTAAACAACAACTTTCTTCACTGTCAGGTACACAAAGCCCCTACATGTTCTACAAGTGGCTTTCCTGTTTCCTTATAAAACTTTCTGAATTTTGCCTTTCTCCCAAAATAGAAAGTAAAACTTTAATATAATGGATAAGTTGGGTGGGGAATTCATTTCAAAAATTTGTTTTCAACTGTGACTTTGTTTTCAAAATTGTGGAGACAAAATGTGCCAAGATAATTTTGTATTAAATGTATTTAACCATAAATAACTTGTAGATTAATTGTTTATTGGTTTTAATAAAATTAAGGTTTTTTTTTTTTTTTTTGGAACAAAATGTGCATTGATCATGTCTCTTTCTTATTGGATATGGGTATATGACAAATACCTTTAATTGGTCTCTTTTAATGTCACTGTTCACTGTAAGTACATGACTCCTTTTGGTTTTTCCTGCTGTACTATAACTAGGAAATTGTGGTTGGAAGTCTGTTGAATTAAACCTTATGTCCTGTATATAATGCTGCACATACATTGCAGATATAAAATGTCACAAATGTTATGTGAAAGAAGTTTTCGTTCAATATCTTTTATATTATTATTACTCTCTAAAGTATATATATGTGTGTGTGTGTGTGTGCACAGTGGCAACAAGTTAGCTGCTTTGAGTTTTGTCAGACTTCATTTGTGTTATCCTATTATATATTACTGATTTTTTATCTTGTGTATTGGCAGTTTGTGCCTGCTGCTTCGGTATATGGTTCGTCGTGGGAAGATTGGCTACATATATTCGCACATACGAAGTAAGCCTTTGCACATATCTTGGTGGTTTATTCTCTGTATTTAGGCATTAATTCGTGCAGTATATGTTTCATTTATTGAAAAGGATATATAATTGCACAATAATTACTAGGTTTAGGATGTGATAGGAACCCACTCTAATAACTCAACAATTTGGGCTGGGCCATGGGTCTTTCATGGGCTTGGGTAGAACTCTCCTTGGAAAACCGGCTTGCCAAGGGAGGGTACCCAAACCTTTATAACCCACATGCCCACCCTTTTCCCTTTCAATGTGGGATCCTAACATTCCACCACGCTTCCGCAACTGACGTCTACGTCGGCCTCTTTACCCCCGTCGGCCTCTTTACCCCTTGGGTGACTACGCGGATCCCCTTTCCCTCGGGTCTCCATGCCCTTTCTCGGAGTAGCAGCCCGGGCCCAAGGTTAGCCTGCCACGGGTCAGCCTGCCACGCGTGCGCTGTCACATAGGCGCAGGATCATGCTCTGATACCAATTGATAGGAACCCACTCCAATAACTCAACAATTTGGGCTGGGCCATGGGTCTTTCATGGGCTTGGGTAGAACTCACCTTGGAAAATCGGCTTGCCAAGGGAGGGTGCCCAAACCTTTATAACCCACATGCCCACCCTTTTCCCTTTCAATGTGGGATCCTAACAGGATGCATACAAGGTTGTGATGTGTTTGTACCAAATCTTGGGGTGAAATCATAATTTAGCTTCCCTCAATTTTGTTCATGGAGTCTGCATGTTGGACTCCGCCATTAATTGGAGTGTGTTTTCACAGACGTCCATTAAACTGACAAGAGAAGTACACATTGATAGTAATAGGATTTGTGTTTTGTTTTAGCTTTGTTTCTGTTTTCTCTCATGCTTTATTGGATGAGGAACTTTATTGTATTTTTCTTAAACTTAATGAAGCTCAATAAATGAAAATATTGAATGAAATCAGTTAGTTGAAGTGGTCCTACAATTTTTACTCGCTGATGTGAATTTGAATCTATTTACTCTTTAGGCCAAATGGATCTGTAGACTATATGATTTGTCTACCAGCCCATGGAGCTGTTATTGGAGCTTGGTTTGGAGCTGCTATTTACTAGTCGAGTCAAGTATGTGTTCTTGGATTTTTCTCAGAAATAGAGCTGCTTTTGGTTTTCATTCTTAAAGTATGATTTGTTTTAGTGGGTAGGGCTTGTCTTTTGGTACATTCTTGTTGGGGGTTATAGTTGGTCCAATGCAAAGATAAAAATTGGAAAATCTGTTTATTCTTGTTTGTGCTATGCAAAATGAGCTTTCATTTACATGAAGTGCTTCTCGTGTTGCTACACATGTTCTTAACGAGCAATTGAAAATTGAGAAATTGAGCGAAAGCTTAGAATCCAGAATTCCCTTGCATTGTAAGTTGAAGGTTTATTATTTGAGCAGTTGAGATTTTTCATTCGTTTGTTTATTTACACCCTTGTGAGATCAATTAGTATAGAACTCATCCACTTCGTTTAGAAAGAATTTATAGGCTTCTCATTTATAAATATATTCCTTGAATTTTATTGTTTGTTTCTTTCTAATTTTATTGTTTCCCCATATAACATTTATATAGGTGTGATCAAGCTGTACCTTGTTTTTGTCTTCTGCAAAAAGCATACGCAAATCTCCCATATATAGAAGGCAAACAGATCTTCCTGCACAATCAAAGACCTAATCATAACTCTAGCAACTCTAAAATGAATGAGCAGTAACATGGAAGCAAACCTGTGTGAATTTGGAGGGCAAGAGAAGAAGACAATGCAGCCCTCAAATTAACAGAGTTTGTATTTGCAATATCCAGATTATCCACGAGTATGTGTACCTGCACAAGCAACACCAAGCTCCCTGAGATTAGTAAATAGTACTAATATATGGGACCACAAACTCAATTTTCAGATCTCAAGTCATGATTAAGAACCAAAATCAGTGCAAATAAAGTAGAGGATAACTAATGAAAAGCACAGTTCAAGAGGAGGAATTAAGGATAATTAGCTAAACATAAGATCTCCTATCCTATCACATGTCAAATGACATCTAAGCAGATTATATAGAAAAAGAAAAATGTTAAATCCAGGGCTGAATTTGTTAGGGACTGAGCACTACATGATTAAGGGAAGACAGGATAAGCAAGATTTTGTTTCGATTTATTTATAAGCATGAAATCTTATAAATTTTCTGCAAATGATCAATTACAAGCTTGTAAGAGAAATCAATTTGTTATATGGAATTGATTATGGACTTCTATTGTGGCCCTGAAAAGCTTTCTTTTTTGGGCCTGAGAAATCAATCTTCATGGGCTAGAGTAAAATTAAACTCACTTGGACAGACTTAAGTTAACAAATTTTTCTCACCCAAAAAATGGCTTAACGACACTTTCCACCTTCAAACTTTTAAAATATCATTTTACTACCCAAAGTACAAATCTTTTAGTAATTTTCATTGTGAGGAAGGGCAAGATGGTCAAAGGTCAATTATAAGTGAGGGTAGGATGGTCAATTAACATTTTGCATCTGAAATCAAAATTTAAAATTCCAGAAGAGAACGAATGGTGAAGCGCGGCAATTCACGGTCGACGAATGGAAAGTAACCAAGTACTAGAGTTTGAGGGGTTTTGAAGAGCGGATATCAAAGGTTGAAAGGGTGGTGGAAGATTGGATTTTGGCCACCAAAATCAGGCGGATTCGATGCAAAAATAGTGAAACCCTAGGTGGTGGAGAGTGGCGAATGGCGTGCAGTTGGCATCAGGAAGGTTGAGGGTTTTGGAGATGGGAGGCCAGTGAGTTGATTGGTTGTCTTAAAAGGGATTTCCAATGCCAAAGTGGTCGGAAAAGGGCAAGAATCACACAAACCAACCGTGTGCTTTTCTGGTCAATTTCTTTATCAAAAAGTGGCTCACCAGCTCTTCCTCTCTAAAACTCCCAACATTTTTTATCCTATTTACTCACCAATTGCCAACGATTGAAGCTTCCCACCTTATTGTTTGTGGTTTGTTTGTTGATTTTTCAGTCTCTGGCACTCTCAATGCTTATTGCAATTACTGACAATGAAGAGGCTAAGAAGAGAAGAGAAGAAAAAGAGGGTTTCCTATTCAAGCCCACTTGGTAGAGTGTGTTTTGGTTGGTTGGTCAGGGCCTTTTGTCGAACAGTTGGCAAGTGGGTGTTTGGTTGTTGTTTTGGGTCAATTAAGGGCTAGAAAAGTGGGTGGGGGTGGTGTAAAGGCTGCTGGAGTGGTGGTTGTGGCTGTTGGAAGGGATGGGTAGTGATGAGAGGTGGTCTATGAGCAACTTGCAAGCTACGCGTGCTCACGGGCAAGAGAGGGGTAGGTTGGTTGGGGAATTTTTACGAGCATGTAATGGACGTCCAAAAAACGATCATGGATGGTAAACAGGGAGTGGGGAAAGTTGATTGGATGGTGGATTTTGAGGAGGGCATGAAGGGTGTTCCAGTGGTGGTGGAAGGGTGAATTTTCGGTGTGCCATTGGCCGAAAACAAGCCTAAAAGATAAGAGTTTGCAGAAAAAAAAAAGTGGACATTTTTCAGCAATTAGAGGGTGAAAATGGGTGGGGTGAGCTCGGTTACAGGTTAATTTCGTCTTCACAATGAAAATCACTGTATTTAACGGAAATTGTTAACATAATATAATATTTGGGTAGTAAAGTGGTGTTTTAAAAGTTCATGGGTGGGAAATGTCATTAGGCCATTATTTGAGTGGGAAAAAGTTGTTTACTCGAATGTTATAATGGGATCTCTATCTCCATAATGTTATATACGCGAGATGAATAGACAAAAATACCCTTTCATAGTTAAGTTTTATGGTCTAAATTCAAAAAAATGGGAGTAACATTGGACGTTTATGAAATAAAGAGAAAAGAGGGGGGGGGGGGGGGGGGGGGGGGGGGGGGTGTGAAGTGATCTTTTACAATAGATTGGGGTAAAAAGTTCATTCGGCGTAAACAAAAATAATGAAAACATCATAGCAAATAATTCTGAATCTAACCTACTTTTGAAAGATAATTTTCGCTATCCACGGTGAGTGGGGACATTTCTACTTACTTTTAAAAGATAAATATGATACTTTTAGAGCAAATAATATTTTCTTGAGTACTGCTAAATGCTATTCGCTCTTTTCAACACCGCGTGGTCTCTGTAAAGCTAAACCGTTGGCACCAAATTAACGAATAGAGCACCTCATTTTACATAATTGAACACCTTTTTGACAATTTGACGCAAACTTTTGACAAGTTTCAATGAAAACATCATTTCACTACTACTTTATTGAAAGAATTTTTTGTGTACATCCACAGACAAGCATCTTCTGGGCGGCAAAAACTATGTATTATGATGGAAATGAATTTACTATGCTAATCTTGTGGGCAGCTTTATTTTGGTGCTCATTTTTATACTCTCTTTCTCTCTCTCTCTTTATACAAACATTAACATCTAGTATAATACTATTGAATGATTAGTGAATAGTAAGTCCAGATGTCACAATGTAATTGGTCATAGTGATTAGTCATTTAAAGACACAGACATTGGCTGTAAACAAGAAGACTAGACTGAATGAAAAACTTCTTTATTCTCTCTGAAACCTATATACAATTTCTAACATATACAATTCAGCTATCAAAGAGCCCTATTTTTCACTACAAAAGCAATTAAATTGAAAAAGCAATTAAATTGAAGAAGCAAGGCTCTTGCAGTTTTGACCCTTGAAATCAGGTACCTATTTTTATTTTTCTTGTGTTTTTCTTGATGGGTTCTTACTCTTTTACCTTGTGATCTTGCTTTATTTATATATATAAAATGTTAAGCATTTGATGATATGCTGTATGGCTTCTGGGAGAGAACACATATAAATCAAGAAATAATAGTAAAGAAGATGTATGTTTTGGCTTAGTCTTCTAGAAAAGCAGGTGGGGGTGATAAAGTTAATTAAGAAATTAAGAAAGTTACTGCTTAATTTTTTTATTTTGTTTAAAACCCGGTTAATCGCTTTTTCGAACCGATTTTTCGGTTTTGTTTAAAACCAGTTCAAGCAATCAACCTTTTCAGTTTCGGTTTGGATTCTTTAGTTGAGTTGGTTTTCCGGTTTGATTCAAAGAATGAAACGATTTTGAACACCTTTGAACTTCACTTATTAAAAGGAATTAATAACATTTACTTAATTAACTATTTCTTCTTGTCTTCAGTAAGCTTCTTGGCTCGTCTATCTTTCATCATATTTAAAGATCAAAGTTGTAAACAGTTAATTCTGGTACGTTATCTTTGATTAGATAACATTATTGTAAACAGTTGCGTAATATGATCCTTGTTATTATTATTATTATTATTTTTAATGTTATTTATAAGCTTCTCATATATAAGTACTTGAATTTTATTGTTTGTTTCTTGTTAACTTAATCTCCATGTAATATTTTCCGTCACTTCTTGTTTCTTAACTATTAATATTATGGATGTCAAGTGTAAATAAAGGTTATTCAATTTTTAAGCTGAATTGCATGTTCCCACCCCAGGTATCATGAATGAACATTGGTACTCCTAGTTTGAGACGCATTTTTTTTTTTTTTTTTTTCTAAATGGTTTATTTTATTTACACCCTTGTGAGATCAATTAGTATTAAAGTCATCCAGTTAATTCAGAAAGTATTAAAAACTCCTCTGTTGTTAGTGATATGCTAGAGTTTCATCCAATTTAAAATTCAAAAGTTTGTGTTACCCCTCTGGTCACTTTACCAACTTAAAACAATATTTCTTTTTTATTCCTCAGTATATTTATAAATCATTTAAAAATTATTAAAACACTAGAATAGTTTCCACACAATTTATGAGTCATTTAAAAAATTAATCTTAATTGTTTTGGAGGAAAAGATTAGTAACAAAAATCATTATTTTGATGGTTTGTGACACTACCATTAGCTCTTGTAACAATTTTCCTTGCATTTATATTCAATATATTAAAACCTACCTAACTTTAACTATTGCTAGTTTAGTTTAATCCATTACAATTTCTTGTAGAAAATGGTAACTTCAAACAAAAATATTGAGGCAACCCTAACTATTTGTGTACAGGGACCAAACTAATGGAGGCTATCATAGGGCCAATAATTGAAACTCTGAAATGCACAGGCCCGCCGTTATGCAAATATGTTCGATATTATAGGAAGCTTTATGTGAATATGGAAATTCTGAAAAGAAGATTAGGAGAGTTAAATAGTCGAAAGGAAGATGTTGAACTAAGGTTGAGCACGGAGTGTAATATGGGGAAATTACCTAAAGCTGAAGTCAATAATTGGTTGCGAAATACTGAGAGGATCAATGAGGAAGTAGAAGATATTGAGAGACAAGTTAATATGGTGAAATATTTTTCACGTGCACGTCTAGGAAAGCTTGTTGACGAGAAGATTAAAGAAGTGAAAGAACATCACCAAAATGGTGCATTTGAGAGTTTTGTTATTGATGCACCTCCAACTGCTGGACTGGTACTACCAACAACAATATTAGTAGGTGAAACAACGGCACAGGAAAACATGAACGAAATTTGGGAACTTTTGATGGGTGATGAGGTGATGAAGATAGGAGTTTGCGGGATGGGGGGAATCGGTAAGACAACTGTAATAACTCATATCAATAAC